ACACATTTATTCTGTGGACTACTATGCAACTGTTAAAAGAATAAGATAAAGCTATGTATAACAACATGTGAAGATTTTCAAGATACCTTTTTAGAAGAAAATAGCAAGTCACAGAACAATACCACATTTTAACCATTAAAAAAAAACTGGAAAATAAAATTCTAATTTATTGAGAATTATTATTACAATGGGGATAGACTGTGGGAAGCAGGGGTGTGCAGAGAAAACTGTCATTTTTCACTCCATTTACATTGGTATCACTGATTTTTTAAAAGTATTTTTCATTAATTACTGTGTAGCTTAAAAATAAAAATACTTTTTAAAAATTTACTATTATACTCTTTCTGTTTCACTCACTTCTGATAAAATTCTCAGGCAGGATGTGAACAGAAAGAAAACAGTCGGGTTTATTGACTTCCGTATCTCACACTTGGGTTCCAGTGTTTGACTATTTATGATTTCCTTCCTGTGCTCTGACAGAGTCAGTATTTTTAGGTATGCCTTTACGGTTAGAAACAGCATTTTATTTTGCTTGAATTTCTGAACCAAGGATCTCAGGAAAGAGTTATGTTTTTGCAACACTTGCTTAGTTTAGTTTTTTTTTTCTTTCTCATAAGTCTAGGCCAGAATTCTTTTATTATCCTTTTAATAAAAATGGACCATTTAATAATAAATTCTTAGCTTCTTGCTAAATGCTAATTATGAGAATTAGATAAGTTGTTTTCCTGAACATAAGCATAAAGAAAATGCATCCTCAGAAAAATGATGGAAATTCTAGATAAAAAGATGCAGAGTAAGTTGAAAAGCGAAATTAGCAAAACGGCTAAGAGTGTCCTAACTCGAAACATTAATTGGGATGTAATGGTGCAATCGTAGCAGTGAAAGAGACATAATAACATTCTATCAGACCTTTGTTAGAGTTCCTTGTAAAATTGCCTTAACTATAGCATCCAAGAAAGTCATACACAATCTACTCCATGAATCAGAACCCAATTATTTTATAATGGTTTCATGCTTTTACCCAAGAGAGATCCATAAATTATTTTTAATCACTTCTTTTATTTTAAATCAATAGTGTTTGCCAAATGGGTAACATTTCCCATTAAGACATCACCTCCTATAATTGGTATAATTACATCATAAAGAGATAAACCACAGCACAATTCAGTCTTTGGAGTTATAAAATCTAATTATGTTTACAACATAATATTTTATTCTAAGTGATCATAAAAAGAACATAAACTTGAACAAAACCCAGACATTTATGATCAAGTAATTGGAAAGAAACAAGTTAAGTATTGCATATAGTAAGTACTGCCTCAATTAGCAGCCTCTGAGAGAAAGTCACTTTTTAAGAAGTCGTTCAGAGTGTAGTGAGATTGGGGAGTTCTGATCCTGTTGAACTGGGTTGGCAGCTGTGCCTGAGATAGAAAGTTTGGTACAATCTTGAGGTATGGGCTTCCCAAAGCTGGGTTGGGGTCCAGGTACCCAGGTGTGGAAGAGCGAACCCCCCAACCTTGGATTTTCACACTGTATGTATAGGCTGCTTCAGTAGCAACTGCAGAGGAGGGTGGTTAGGGACAGGCATGACCTTTGACCTCTGTTTCGACAGGAGATTAGCTTTCATCTGTTTTATATTTGGCTTCTACAACAGATTTCATTTCATTTCAGTTGCTAAAATTTATTTATGAAAACTCTGCCCTAAGCCATAGTCATGTGCTGCCTCTATGCCAAAGGGAGGATGACTAAAAAGATAAGAAAAGAAAAGAAGTTGGAAACACCCTTTAATTAAACTTGCAGGGCCAAACAGCAATCCATGCTGAGAATCTCATGCTAAAACTCATAAGCCTCAATATATCATCACATATTATTTCTAACTCTGGTAAAAACAAATTCCTAATTTAAAAAAGGATAAAACACATATGCACATCAAGAAAACAACCCAAAACTGTACTTCAGTTTGCATGCCCTTTATGCTTCTATGTAAGAAAAGGGAGTCAGAGGGTGAGGAAGATATATTAAAACAGGAGGAAATTGGATGCCCTTTAGTTAGTTTTAGTATTATCCAGAACTGTGACATTCCATTTTGCTTCAGCAATACTGAGAATTAATCTGCCTTTCTTTCTTTGTACTTTTCCTCCTTTTTCCCCTCCCAATGGTATCATGAAGGTCTTTTTCTCCCTCTTTTGTTCTTCCTTCTTCTCCTTAACCCACAAGAAGCATGACACATTCATTTAGGAAGCAGCAACTTAAAAAGATTGTGAGACCCAGAGAAAGAAAGTAGTAATAAGCCCAAGGGCTAGATGGAAAAATGAAAATATATACAACTTGTTCCCAAAAATCTACAGAAAATTCTGGCAGAGGAAGGAGAGAGGTGGCAGGGGGCTGGAGTTAGGGGTGACCTGTACAGGAGGGAAAGAAGTAGAGATATTAGTCACTGGAGAATTTTTCTATAGAGGGATTTATCAATGGCAAGCTGATTCTCATATGCTGGCTCCTACCTGTGATTCAAATGGCAATGTCAATGACTCCTCCTGGGAGAGCCTCCCCTGACTGCCCAGTAACCACTGAGTCACTCTCCACCACATTATCCCATTTTAGCTCTCTACACAGCATTTATTATCTGGCAGTTTTCTCCTTTATTTTTTTTCTGCCTCTTTCCATCCCCTATTCTCACCCTCTTCCCCACTAAAATGTAAGCGCCTTAAATGGCAATGACTTAGCCCCATGGATTGTCTGTTTCTTGCCCACAGACTATAAACCCCAAGCTTGCCAGGACTTTACTGGTTTCGTTAACATCCACAGTGCTGAGAGTGCCTTGCACATAGTAGGAGCATTCAACACGTCAGTGAATACTTGAATAAAAGAATCATAGAAAGAAAGCCCTTGCCCATTTACCGAGGTTGCATTTTGACAAAGCAATTGAGTTGTGGCAATGGCAGGCACATTGCTTCCGTCACAGGTTTAGTCTCCATTTTTGGTCCATTAGAACCACAAGGGCCAATGGCGAAGATGTCTCCTCTATGCTGAATAGTGATGTGGGTGTGGGCGAAACCCCATAGAAGAAAAAGAAGCCCCCTTTTCACTCCAGAAGGCAAGAAGAAGTGCTAAAGGAGATGCTCACTGTAATGAAAGCATATGCAGAAGATCAAATAATACTACAATCCTTGAAGCTTGACAAACTTTTTCGATGTGCAGCAGTTTGCAATTATACTGAAATACACTATGAAAATATTCTTCACATGTTAACACATGTCTTCATCATGTTGGTAAACATGAAAGATTTATCTCAGTTTTTTGTTATTTCTATCTTAAATACTAACTGTCTCTTCGCTTCATTATATTCTCCCTTTGGAGAAGAATAAAACAAAGGCATGTGATTATTTACAAGTCAAGATATTTAATATTAGCATTTCATTAGTGATTTAAAATATACTTTCAGAATATGTAAAATACGACAAATATGTACATATTTTAGGATAAGTAGAATAGAATTTCACAATGGGATATGTTTTTTACACTGTGATTAGTAATGTTCCATTTTGGAGCAAAATGTCTTTAGTAAATGATAAAGTAAAATAAAGAGGATTGTCAACGCAGAAAAAGAGATACCTTATAATAAATTAGTTATTTGCTGGACGTGAAACAGTCTTCACAGATAGAGTGACCATATGATGACCATATGGGATGTTTCTGAGAGTGAAAAGGCATACTAATCATATTTAAGACTGGCACAAAAACCAGGATGAACCAGGATGTCTGGTCATCCTCCTCATGGAGATTCCAAATGACGACAAAACTGCTTTTATCATTTTTCTTATTTAAAAAAAGCCAAAAAAACTCCAAAATAGCTTGCTCATGTGCTAAACACATGGTAAGTGACTGCTCCATTTTGATTCACTGTTAATTGTTATACTAAAATTAAATTTTTAAAATCTGAATGTAAGTTATTAATGTTGACAACTGTTAGAAGAGAAAAAGAAATTCAATGGGTAATCTTCATTATTTTCAAACTATTCTGATCATTAAAAAAGTTTTCCCCTTGATCATAAAAATCATTAATTAGAATAGAGAACTCTGTTGGGTACCATTTCTCAGCTTAAAATATGCATTTTATATTTTTCTGATCACCCACCTTTCAATATTGACCTGGTTAGCAAATAGAGTTTATCCCCAGTCCTAGCCCTTATTGACTGTGGCCATCAGGAGCACTGTGTTGAGATGATTCTGAGGTCACCTTAGGGCTCAGCAGAAAGGCATATAGTGATCAGCTTGTGATGTTCGCAGGAGACATGGGATATGGAGCGATGGCAAGTATGGCAAGTATTACCATCCCAGTTTGGACATATATCAGTAATTTTCTGACGTATCTAATACATAGTTGATTACCAAAAAAAAATTACACCTTACTGATCCTGCATCTGCTACCTCATTAATTCTAGTATAGTGTAATTAATGCACCAAATATGCCACAGGAGAACAATGTCATCAGTCTTAACTTGCACGAAGATAGCAATCTCATGATTTCCACACATCATTGTTTTACAACTTTCTTAGTCCAAAATCAGAATAACAAAAGATCAAATCTCTAACACCTGAATAGAAAACAGTAGAAAAAATAATACAGCAAACATGCTAGTTAATTGCTCCTCTGTTTCTATCTTTTACTTATTTTGTTATGAGGACTATGTTTTTATGTACTCAAGAGAATCGTAAGCAGTAAAATGAAAATTAAACTTGCTTCTCCCCTTGCAAGCAAATATTAATGTCTCGACTTTAAAGAATTATTTTCAGTATTTACTTCATTACCACATATTTTGTATTATTTATCTTTTATACAACAGAAAACAATCTGTTCTGTGCCTTGCAATGAGGGAAAATAAAAAAGATATGATACTTTAAAAAAAGTACAGATGGGGGTCCCTAATATTGCTGCTTCTTTTGTGACCATGAAGAATGTTCCATCTTTGAACCTTAATTCTCTAATTTAAAAAAATAGAGCAGAGGTAAATTTATGTTGAGGGGGAGATCCAACTTCAGATTGCAAGGCAGCTTTCCCACATTAATTTTGACTATACCTCTCTACTTTTCCAAGAGTGAAATCCTACTGAAATGGCTTTCCAAAATATTTTGTGGAAAATAAGGATTAACACAAGGCGATTCCTCATTCATAATCCCTAAACAGGAAACAAATTCATCAGGCAGCAGGGTCTGTTCTGTTTCATTGGGTGGAGCATTTTCCAAAAGCATGGTGGTTTCCTCCTCTATTGAGTTTTGCATATCTGGAGGACTGCATTCTCCTTGATTTAAAATGAGGCTTAATTCTTCACGAAATAGTATGTTGCTTAACGAATTCACACTTGAGACAGAAAAAGCAAAATCGGAGTTTTCAAACCGAGCATTCTTTCCCAGGTCTAAGGAATCAACTGATGGTTTGAGAGTTGAGGAAACGGTTTCATCGTCATTGCTGGGGTGGTTTCCCTCAGTGAGAAAATTTGAAATCTGGGGTTTATATCCAGTGCTCAGATCAGGAATATACCCAACCGTAGTACTGGTGAGTAATGACTTTTGCAGGCATCCTCTCGTCTCCAGGGATCCTGTGTTCTTCTCCTTCTTGTGGTCTGTGGGCTTGCGTTCTTCTGGGAGAAAGATTTCTATCTCTGCAATCACTGGATCAACATATAAGACCTGTTCGCTGGAATTATTCATAAATTCACTCTTTTCCTGGAAAGAAAAACATTATTTTATTTTGCATAAGACATTAAAAGGGGCCAGCTGGATAACTGAGTAAGAACTAGAATTCTGCTTTCCCTCTGTTTTCCTTTCCTTCTCCTTTTTCTCATATTGTTTCTCTTCCCATATAATTTCCTCCCTTGTCCTTTGTTATCCTGCTTGATTCCAAATCCTTATTAAATTTTCCCCTGAGGAGCCTGAAAGAAAGAAGTAGTAAAAATAATCTATGTTTTAAGCACATGTCAGTTTAAAATTTTTAAAGAAGCATCTTGCAGATTAACTTGCATATTATTTCAGGGCCTTTTAAAATCTGGTTTGGGGAACATGCTGGATATTTCTTAATATTATGGAGCCTTACCGCAAGAAAATACTTTGTTGCTTAAATGAAAAAAAATGGAGTGCGGGGGAGAATCCTGTGTTGCTTCTATTTGAGAATAAGGTTGTAATAAGTGCTTTGAGTTGAGATTCTAAAGGTGTGCAGCTACTTACAGTTCAGACATGTCTGTGATGATCAGGAGCATGGATGAAGAGGTTTTTATTTGTATAAAAGCTTGATGATTCTTCTGGGTAAGAAAAGGATTTGAGGCCTTCTACCTGATGCCTGGCTTCCTAGGGCAAATAACTCCCACCCAACACAGTTATAAAATTATAGTGGCCTGCTATGGACTGAATGTTTTTCTCCCTCAAAAATCCATATGTTGAAGCCTAATCCCCAATGTGATGGTATTAAGAGGCAGAGTCTTTGGGGGATAATTAGTCTTTGGGTGGAGCTCTCAAGAATGGGATTAGTGCCCTAATAAGAAGAGACAGGAGGGAGATGATTTCTCCCTCTGCCTTGTGAGGATCCAGCAAGAAGGCAATGTCTGCAAGAAAGCTCTCACCAGGAACCCAAATTGCCAGTGTCTTGATTTTGGACTTCCCAGCCTCCAGGAATGTAAGAAATAAATGTTTATTGTTTAAGCCACACAGTCTATGGTATTCTGTTATAGCAGCCCAAGCTGCCTAGAACAAAACCTCATCTGAAGGAAACCCTAAGGTTCACTTCTAATCCCAGGAATCCAGAATGGGAAGAAAGTTGGGCAAAAAGAAAGACCTCGAATAAAGCGGCATTCAAAATTTTTTTCACGCACAGACTCCCCATGAAACTTACAAAATTCGGACTGGGATGGGCAGACATGTATAGCAATCCTATCTTCTTCACAGGGAATACATTCCAAGACCACTAGCAGATGCCTGAAACCAAAGATAGTACCTAATCCGACCTATAGAGTCATGAGCTATAAAACGATGTTTTGGTCAATGTGGGATCACATATATGATGGTGGTCCCATAAGATTATAATGGAGCTGAAAAATTCCTATCACCTACTCACGTCATAGCTGTAATAATGTCATAGTGTAGCACATTACTCATGTGTTTGTGGTGATGCTGGTGTAAACAAACCTACTGCACTACCAGTAGTATAAAAGTATAGTACATATATGTACATAACAAATATGTACTTAATAAACTACTATGTTATTATATGTATTTACTATATTATATACTCTTTTATTATTATTTTAGAGAGTACTCTTTCTACTTATAAGAAAAAAGTTTGCTGTAAAACAGTATGCCATTTTAGGCTGGCAGCAGCCTCATACATCTCATGTTTACCCTGTCTCTTGCTTACATCATTTCTCTTGTGCTTGGTTTAATCTTGTATTGTTTGGTACAGTAACATGCTATACAGGCTTATAGCCTAGGAGTTATATACTATATAACCTAAATGTGCAGTAAGCTACACCATCTAAGTTTGTGTAAGTGTACTCCATGATGTTTGCATAGGGACAAAATTTCCTAATGACACATTTCTCAGAATGTATTCAATCGTTACTCAGCTCATGACTATCTATACTGTGTTTTTTTCCTTTACATACATACACTTTATGGCTTCTCTTTGGCATATTCAAATTGCCAGCTTCACTATTCTCATACTTTGGGGCCATTATCAAGTAAAATAAGGGTTATTTGAACACAAGCACTGTGATACCGCAACAGTCAATCTGATAACCGAGTGGCTACCAGGTGACTAATGGATGGGTAGCATGTACAGTATGGATACGCTGGACAAAGAGATGATTCCCATCCCAGGTTGGATGGTTTGAGATTTCATCACACTACTCAGAATGGCATACAATTTAAAACTTATGTATTTTCCATTTCATATTTTGAACTGAGGTTGATCGCAGGTAACCGAAATGTGAAACCACAGATAAGGAGTTAAAGATCAGATGAAGTCAGAGGAGCTAGATACACTATAGAAACTAAGAATGCAAAGTAGCTATGTTCCAAGGAAGGAGGCATTTTCCCCACTTCAGGCTGGTGACTGAGTGGAGAAGTGGGTGGGAGTTGAACCACGATGAAGGACACAGAAGACCAATGGGGACGATTCTAGAACGAGGAGGATAAAGGAAGCAGAGGATCTGATCACAATGAGATCAGAGACAATTCTTTGAGCCACATTAAGTTCCCAATTGCCTAGGATAATTAATGAGGGAACAAGATAGAACTACTAAGTGGAATGAATATCAAGACTACACTATTTATTTTCTGTACTTTGATGAATATACGCTTGCCCTTTGGTTAACTGTTAACTGTGCACTTCATTACATATGTAGGTTCAGTTGTTCTGGATCACTCCTCCACTGTTAGGCAACATTTCCTCCTTCAAAACCAGCCACATCCACACCTTGTCCCTCCTTCGTATATCTGGAAACAAAGATCCCTCCTGCTCTAGGTGAACTTTCCACCTCTTCTTTTTAGAACATCCCTCCGCTCTCCACAGTCTTGTTTAAGCAATTTCCTCCAACTGTAATAGTCTTTCTCAAACCTATCTAATTTTGTACAAACATGCTTCTGACTCCACACCCCTCTGGAGCTACTGTCATTCATTCATTCCATGAGTATTTGAAAACTGACCACATATCGGCAGAACTCTTTTTTCCCTTTCTTCACTTCCCTTCTAGTGCACCTCATCGAAAGATATCTACATTCTCAGTCCCTACTTCCTCACTTACCTTTCACCTCTCAGCAGAACCTCTGTGCCAGGATCACTAGTGATCTGCTCCTTGTCACATTCCATGGACTCATTTACTCCTTATGTTGTGGACCCTCTACAAATTGGTGAGCCCTGTGATCCTTGCCTCCCGACGTTTAGTCCCCATCTCACTATGCTCATTCTCTGACCCTCCTAATTCTGCCTCTGTTTTAGGACTATGTCTATTTCAACTGAAAACACCTCACTGGCTCCTCATTGTCTTTAGCAGTTGTTTTCAACCCCTCAACAGTGTTCTAAGCATTGGCTGCATAGTGGAATTACTTGGGAAGCTTTGGAAAATACAGATGCCTGAGTCTTCCCAGGCCCACCCTTCCCCCAGAGATCCTGGGTTGTGGCCTGGGCAATGGGATTCTAATATGTAGCTAAGGCTGAAAACTGTTGCCTTAGGGACTTCTCTGGGGTTAGGGGCAGACTAGGCTTTCCAGAGCTCCAAATAGAGCCACTTTATTTGTTTTACAAATACCTGTCTTCTTCACATCATTTAAACACAGAGTTCCTAGGCAAAAATAATTTCTTTTTAAGTTTGAAAACTATTGGTCAACAGGATGAAGTCTGAGTTCCATAGTGCTAAGACCTTTCGTGATCTGATCCCACTCATCATTCCAGCATTATTCCAGCCACGCCTCACATAAAGCTTTTCGATAAAGCAATACCCAACATGCTCTTTTCATTTGTGTGCTTTTGCTGAAGTTATCCTCTCTGTTTTGAATGTTCTCTATTTCTCCTGAGCAATTCCTACTCATATTTCAATATGTGTCCTCTATCTTCTTGTTATGTTTGGTCTCATTTCTGTCACTGCACTTACATTGCTGCATTGCAATGCTTGGATAATGTGTCCATCCTATCCACTGGGTTTTGAGCCCCTTGATGGCCAGGCCAGAGTGCCGGAAGGAGCACACACAGCAAATTATTCCCCTCAGCCATAATCATCAGCAGTTCTACCACAACTAGCAAAATCTCATATACCCTCAGGGTCTTCCCAGCTCATTTGTCTCTTCTTTGCTGAATTGGAAACCCGGCACACCCCTGGTGACACCATTTCTCATAGTCCTCTCACATTTATTTTTTTGAATTCCACTGGGTAGTAGAAGTGAAGTGGTGTCCTCCTTGGGCTTTGCCTGCTTCTCCAGTCTGATGTAAAACAGAAGTCCCTTTATGTCTTCGACTCTCATTCTATTGAGCTATTCTGCCCTCTTCCTTTGGTCTCTGAAGATATCTACCAATTACATGGCCACCAAGTGACTCTGGTACCTGGCCCACAATCTTCCACTTTACTTTTATCTTTTAAGTAACATTATTTCTTTCTCCTGTCCCTAACTCCATTCTCTCTTCCCTTTTAAGTATGATTTGAAATATGTGTAATTTTGTTTCTACATATATTAATACAGTTATGCTAATATTCACACACCTCTATTTATTTGAATGGATATTCTACCCTGTTGGACTGCACTCTTAGTCAAAGTTGCCATTTAGTTTTTATTTGATGGTGTTTGATTACCTGTAGCATTTTCGCAGCATTACTGTTTTCCATATTAGGAATGTTTTCATGAAGCCATTTTGGTATTAGCAATAAGATTCTCCTTTTAATTCTAAAAAACAAAAACGACACATTAGAAGAAGCACTTTCCTTTAGGACTGGTGTAGCCAATCACGTAGGAGATTAGGAAATCAACTGGAATGGAATGTATAATAAAAACCAAACTTTCTGAAGCAGGAACTAAGATTTCTATCTCTTACTTGAAATAGTTAAGTGGAAAGTTGATTCAATTTCTGTTCAGATTTTTCTTTTCTCTCTATTGCTCTGCTTCTCTCTAATGAGCTGGAACGTATCAAAACACTTATGCTTAGATTCAAGATAAATGGGAAAGCCACCCTGGAAGTGAAATTATACACATTTTAGATATGGCAAACCATTATAAGCAGGAGATATCAGTGTGGAAAATTTTGGAAAACTTAGGGATATTTTATAGAACTTTCCAAGGTGACCGTAACCACAGAAAAATATTAAAAAAGAGAATGTCATATAATAAAACTGTATAATTTGAGTTCCTCTAATTCTGAATTTGTAATGATTCCAGAGTTAAGAAGATAGTGGTGGCGCTAAACTTTCTTCCTATGGATGGAGCGGGAAGCTGGGGAAGTTGTAGGCACAGCGAGAATACCAGTTTTGACTTAGGCTGTGTGCTTAAGGAACCCTAGGGTGGGGATGATGGAAAGAAGAGAGAGAAGCTGTGTACGACGCACTTCTTTCCCCAAGCTACCCCTAGGCACTGCCACTGTGTTGAAAGTACTTTCTGCTTTTACAGTAAAAATTGATTTGAACAAAGAGGTTGTACCAGGAACTTAGAAGAGACTAAAGTGATCTCTGGCACATTTTCCTATGTTAACAATGCACCCATTAACAACAGACCATGCTAGTTTATCTGCATAAGCAAGCTTCTCTGAGGACTTTTACTAAGTAACAACCAAAATGGCTGAATGTACTTTGCTAGCCCAATTTGACCTTGAACAGTAGGGTAAAAATAATTTCTTTACAATATTTTGCAATGTTTTATAGTTCAGCTTTTTTACTAATTTACATTCTCTTTCTATACCTAAAATTAAACCAAATTAGTAAATTCATGCTATTGTAGGAAAATTTTTATACAGCATGCTGATATAGTGAGAATGTATATTCTCACTATAGCCACTCTTGGTTTCATTATATTTAAAATATTTTATGCTCTGTTTTCCAGTTCTATTTATTGAATAAGGCTTATATAAATTATATATAGTTATAATAAATAACAATATCTGCTCATACATAAAATACATTAGAATTATCTCTTGTTTTTTTTTTAAATCTTTTTAAAAAGAATAGTTATTTAAATAATTAAGTTAGCAAAGAATTATCCTATTTTCTCATTTGTTATTACCAACAGGCATTAATTTTAGGTTATTCTTAGTAACAAATTCAATGCTATTTAAAATTTCACACTAGGACATCTTTGAATAACAACACAAATATTAATATTTTTATGTGGTATAAGTTTGAACATTAAAATATTTCAAAAGGCTTTATAATCAAGTATATTTTAAAACAACCTAAAATAAAGTACCATATATATTTGTCCATCTCACAAGAATATGGGGGATATGTTTATTAATGTGTAATTTAAATATTTAAGTTCTGACGAAGAAGTATACATAAATAAAAAACAATCACTAGTATATTTTATTTAGAATACCTCATTCTAAATCTTTCTGCCATGTCTTAATTATAAATTTAAAAGAAAGAAAGATTATCTCATGAAGCAAGTGATAGAAATAAATAGAAACTCAGTGTCTATTAGGCAAAGTACATTCATACGTGTTAAAGTTTGTGAGTCATTGGATGTACTGGGAGACTGCCACATGAAATGACTAGAAATATGTTCTCAGTGCGTCTAGTAGAATTTAGGAAAGTGAAGGCCTTGTTTTTCCTAAAGTCCTATTTTTCAATAACTAGGCATAGATCTTTACTAATACCATATTGGAAAAAATGATTAATGGAGGCCAAGAAGAATGGGCATTGGGGCTAGATGCTAAAACACTTAACACAATTGATACTAAAGGGACGAATTCAGATGTTAACACATTTCTTTTCACACTGACTCAGGGGATTTATTTGGGTAGAATTTGATGCAGGTTATGACTTAACCACTCTAAAAGATGCAGCCACAGTGAGAAGATTGTGTAGTGAAGGAGAGTACATACATAGGCTGTGATATCAGTCCCATCTGGACTCCTGGCTAGTGCTTAGTGACTTTGGACTAAGCATTTAACCTCTCTAAGCCTCCCGTAAGTCATTATGAATTAAGCTATAGAGCTTTTCTAGCAGGGTCACTGTGAAGATTAAATGAATGACATTTATAAAGAGTTTGACATAGGTAGGTACTCAAATACTATTCCTTTTGTTTTTCCTTTCTCTGAGTAAAAATGTTGATGGATTTTTCTCATAAACAACTAAATTGACGACATTGTGGTGGTACAATTATATGGCCAAAATCAGAAAACAAATCCTACAAAAACCTACCCAGTTCGGAACGATCTGTTAAATATCCCAATCAAAGAAAGAATTGACAACACAACAGCAAAGAAGACCATTCCCAATAAAAGTCCAAAGTTTTGTTGCCTGTCGTCTGAAAGGAAAGAAAAAATCATTTTAGCTAAACATTAGTTTCCCTGTGATGTCAGAATCATCATTCTCTCTACTCTGGTCAAAAGGAAGGTCATTGATCTCAAAGAAAAAGAGAAACAGGGAAACAAAATTAACATTTACCTTGGGCTGTAAAGTGATTGCCCTTCCAAACTGCATGACAATACTTTTTGTTTGAGAAAGCTAGGTTACATATGTATGATGTCAGCGGGTTTCTAGAAGTGCATCTCTGGTAAATGTGGTCAGCATTAGACATTTTTTGGAGCTGTGTGTGCATATTTTGTATAAAAAGTTTGTTGATGAACCTCACTTGGTTTGACACAAGTGAGAATTCCCAATTGCTTGTAACAGAGTCTAAAGCTGGCCACAGTCACAACTGAGGTTTTTTTTTTTCCCTTAACCTTTTGCGCAAGATAAAAGTCATATACAACTTGTCACCATTCTTCAAAATTTACTATTCATGAATCTTTTGCTGCTGAGAAAGGACAGTCACCCTACTTAGGAAAATATGTTATAAAAATTTTTTTCGATCGCTATATATCTTTCACTCACATTTTATTTTAAAAACAATGCTAACTGCTTTTCTTGAATTTTGAAGTTGAATTAACCACCTGAAACCTTTAAATAATTAATATAATATATTCAACATGTGTTACCTACCAGGCTCATCATATTTTCTTCCTAGTACATGTAAAACTCTATTTTCTATTTTTGAATATAGACCATAATCAAGAAATGACTTATGACACTGGAGTTTGTTTAGAGCCATTGTGAGTATTGACTTCCCTCCCTTCCTCCTTCCTCCCTCCTTTTGGCAAATGTTTGTCAGATACATACCAAGAGGCAGACCCTGTATTGGCCCTTCCCTAGTTATTTCCCAGCTGGCCTATTACACACCTGGGGGTGTCCAGGATTTTCAGGCCCTCTTCTGAAGCCAATTGGTTGACAGAGGCCAGTGTAGCTTCAATCACTCCAAAGTCCCAGTGGGATATGGAATTAGTGTTTTTCTAGGACTAAAATGCAATTGCTGAAGATTTCATACAACTAATGAGAGGTGCTGACTGCCACATACCCTTGGGCGTTAGTGCCCGGGGGAGGGTGGAGAATCCCCGCGTTAATATAGGACTGGGGCAAAAGGGTCTAAGGATAGAGCATAGTGACCTAAGATACCTGCATTTGAAATTGACCATGCCATTATCAGCTATGTAACCTCAGAGCGTAATTATAAACTTGCTGAAGCTCAAGTTTCCTCTTCTGTAAAATAGAGATAATAATACCTAATAGAGCTGCCCTGAGTTCCTAGCCTCCACAATTCCCACAGATATATCAAGGTTTGGGTCTATGTAGGCACCTGTAATTAGGCATCTGTACTGAACCCAAGCACTTGGCTTATAGTTGATTCACATATACAAATTCAAAGTGCTCATACCTTGCTTCATGTTTATAACATTTACTGCCACCTAACTTTTTTCTCATTGTTTTGTTTGTTGTTTTTCTCCCCCTGTCTATCTAGAATGGAATCTCCATGAAGACAGGGGCTTTGTTCATTTTTTCACTGCTGATTCCCCAGTATCCAGACCAGTGCCTGGTACATAGTAGTTGCTTAATGAGTATTTGTTAAATAAGTAAGCAGAAGTCAATATAACCTGCAAAAATTCTTAGACTATTCTTGCCAGACTTCTACGTAAGGACATGAGTAGTCTACCAGTGGTCAGTGGTGAAATAGTAATGCCTAAAGTTTTTCAATTTGAAATTTCTGTTCAGAGTTATATTTGCCCCTTTGCACAACCTGATCTAATATCTTTTTGTGCCTAAAATATTTAGGTATGCTCATCAATGGAAAATCCTGAGTCATACTAACAAATAAAATAGGAACTGGTTTATATGAGAGAATGAGCACAGACTTCAGGACTTGAAAAACAGGATTTCAATTTTAGTTTGTCACTTAGTGTGACCTTGGACAAGTTCTCCAACCTCTCTGAGCTCCAGTTTTCCCATTTATAAAATAGATATGTAACACTTACCTCACTTTGTGTTTTTAACATTGAAAAAGATGAGGTATATAAAACTCTTAGTACATTGTAGACACTGAAATAACGAAAATTTTTTAGAAAGAAGTTTTGGGGTTTTCAGTCCCAGCACCATTCGAAATGAAAGTATATCCAATCCAGAGCAAAAGCTGGCAAAACCCACCTAGACTACTCCTTAGATTCAATTGTAAGCAGATCTTTGTTGATTATTTTTCTGTAGAAAGCATATGGCAAATCTTCTTATTAAAAAATTTGTGTCTGACACATAATTTTTCAGTATAGAGAATTGAAATGAATGATTAGTAAAGACTACTAGAAAAACCCAAGTTGTATTTTCTTACCAGAAGTAAGGTGTCCTTTAATGATGGAAGCAGTAAGAAGCCCAGAATTTTGAGTATCGTGTTGGAATGATTTCAATGTGACCTGGGAAACTAAAAGAAAAAGAAAATAGTGTCAGCTTCTTATATTTTGCTCTCAGGTTAAGAGAGTTTCTTCATTTGTTGGGAGATTTTTAAAGTAAACCAGTAACTCTAACAAGCTTAAAAGATGGAATAAAAGCAAAGGCCTTCAGTTATGTGTATCTTTTCTTCTTTTTATTTAATTCAGTAAATTCTAAAGACAAAAACAGTGGAAAACAAAACAAAACAATAAAAACTACTTAGGGTTTGTAAAACTTCAAGGTATGTCCACTAATTTCATGAGACTTCTAGGCAACAAATACCGAAGAGCTTTATTTCATTCACTGGGCCAGAAAACAGACACAGTAACTGGTCTCTACTTGATTCCTTCCAGTAGATGACACAATAAAATTTAGGTTTCCTTAAGAGCCTCCAAGATGTGTGACTTTTGCTTTTGCGTAATCTTTGAGATGCTGTTTGTGAGCAGCATCTTGACTCCATATAAGAAGCCCAGTTTTGATTAGCAGACACTTTGAGGTTGTAACACAGGGGTGGAATCCCATTAATGACTTCCCTCTGCTTCTTCCCTGCTGGCAAGGATCCTGGCCACAGCCCTGTCTAGTCATAAAGGCTGTCAGGACACTGCTAATGAAAGCTTCTGCCCAGGGTGGAGTGAGCGGTGTTGGCAGCTAACTCGATTTCTGTCTGAACTCAAAGAGTCCTGGAGCTTCCTTACCCTCCTCCTCCCTCCTGATAATTAAAAGCTGCCAGGGGTGACTGCAAGGACACGGTTCTCCTAGCTGACAGAAGACATTCCTGAAAATGGTTCTAAGCTCCGGATCCCCAAGAAAGCCTCAAACCCTATTATTCAGTTATTCTGATTTCAATGTTCAAATTCTTCTTTTAAAAAAAATTACTTTTGGGACCAGGGAGAAATCACAACTTGAGGGTGTCACTAAGATATCACACACTTGTATAACAAGTTATGCGGCCCAGACAACTCTCTTTTGAGAAAATATCATAGAGTTCCAATTAATAGGTTCCTATGGGCCTTTGGACATTTTTGAGTAAGGCTGACCTGGGTGCCAGTACAGGCTCAATTAAAGAGTGGTTTTCTAAGGACAATAGGTATGGGATTTTAGAAGATGAAAATATCAGAAAGCCAAAAGTTCTTTTCTGTGTTTTTATCCTGGTTTCTTCACAGCAGGAGGGAAATGTTTCACTGTGAAGTGTGACAAATTAGAAATTCTTTTTGGCTTCTCAATGGTTCACTAAATCTCTTTTGTTCTCAAATATGTAATTCCATCAAACTCAGAGGGAACAAGTTTATGTGCCATGGCCAACAGTCAGGTTTATTCATCTAAATTAGTATATTATAGGCTATGCTCATCCTCAGGGAACCCGTGCAGGAATATGCATGTATATTACTTTGAAATTTAAGAGAAATATTACATTAAAATGTAACACTATTTCCAATTTGGCAAAATCATGGGTTTATAGCATGTTGCTGAATTATTTTTGTTTTCACGTTCATTATTTTAACATTAGCATTTTTATTTAAAAGAAATATATGGTGTAATTGGCTTTTAATACAGGTTAATGTAATTCTGTTGTATAAACTATAGGTGGTTATTTGGCAATGAAACTTCAGATATTAATTTGCATTTTGTAAAAATGATTTTCATATCTGACTAGGGCTTTATTAACCTAATAAAGAATAAACACAGTCCTCCCTTAGGGTCTTTTGTTATCATAGTTTAAATCAATCAGGTACATCAATTTAAATTTGATTAAATTAAAGCAATTTAAATTAGAGGCTTAATTATGAGAGCAATTTCACAAAGAATCAGATCTCTGAAGTAAGACAATTTATAAACAAGATCATTATAAAACAAAGAGAAAAAAGAAAAAGAAAATAAATAAAAAGGAAAAAAGATTATTCTAGAAGAAATCAAGCTAATGGAAATATTTTTAAGTGGACTGAAATGAAGCCATATAGATTATGTTTTTCGGAACATACTGCCACCAAGTGGTTAGGTAATTTCTTATTAAATTGTACTTAATCATTTTTCATTATAAAAACAGTCAGTAACTATAAGAGAAAAGAATTTTAACAGGAAAAACAAAAGGAAGAGAAAAAATCCATTTCTAATCCCATCCCTTTAAACTACCTGCTATTAGTATTTCATAGTATTTTCAAGTATTTTAACATTCAAAAGCATTCACAAGCACACAATGATGTATACACACATCTTTTGCAACTGAAAACATTATATCAAATAGCTGTAATCATTAGTGTATTGCCTAATGTGCTAGAAAAATTTCATGGTATTTTCATTATTTATTTAATGTCTATTGTGTTATGTCCATAATGAGACAATTCTGTCTCTGCAATGGAATATTAGATGCCTATACTTGAGTAGACTCAGAAAAACCAAATTGTCTCTAATTTGGTAAAAATTTTTATATCACTTATATACACTGATATTGAATATTAGAGTTAGTCTTACAGAAGACAATATGTTCATGGGGAATTTAGAGGGGTTTCAAACAACAAATGTAGTTTCTTATTATTGGACAAAACTAAAAGTATAACATAACTACATTTTCTGACTCATCAAACACCAGCCTAATTTAATCAGGTCTGCTCAAAAGGACTCGGTTTTAGCAATAATGTATTTTATCTGTTTCTTAGAAATGATGTCAAATCAATCTCCTTAGCCCTTTCCTCTACATCCACCATGGGACAAAATGTGTTTTGTTATTCTTTTTAAGCTACCGACCGCTTATTGAGTACTAATTATGTTCCAGATAATATAGTAGACTTTATATACTTCATCTCATTTAATCTCACAACAACCTAATCAGGTAGATAATACTATTGTCCTCACTTTATGGATGAGGAAACAAAGATGTAAAAATGATAAAGCACTTGCCCGAAGTCACATAGGTAGAGGTCAGAGAATGAAAATTCCCATCCAGTCTGATACATAGTTTTGCTGGCCGCTGGCCACATTAATTAATAACCCTCTGCAGCAGAGAATACAATTTTACATTTGTTCACAAACTCAAAACAATTATTTTTTACATTTGTTAACAATCTTTTGTGTCCCCTACTGGAGATCATGCTCTTTACTAAATGTTTTGTCTTGTTTTTTGTTTTTTTTTAATTAAATATATCATGAACATTTTTTTCATTTTATGAAAAATTATTCAAACCCTCATATTAATGATGATTTAATATCTCATCATGTTTATATTGTATTTATTCTGTTGTCCCCTATTGAGAAATGGTGTAGCTCTGTGGTTTCAAACACCAACTTCGGACTCACAAAACTCAGTTCAAGTCCTGGCTCCACCACTTGGAGTTGCATGACTCTGGGCAAGTTGCTTAACCTCTGTGTGGCTGTTTCTTCACTTGTAAAATTGGATAACAGCACTTTACTTATGGGGTTTGTTAAGATAGTTTATATAAATTACTTAGAACCAGGCCTTACACAAATTAAAAGCATAATAAGTGTTAGCTTATTACTGGAATTTTAGGTTGTTTGCAAATTCTTACTATCATAACTAGATTTTGGATAGTATCGTACATAAACTCCTTTGCACAGCTCTGTTTATTTCCTAAGGCTAGATATCTGTAAGTGGAATTACTGGGCCAAAGGGTATGGGCATTTATAAGGCTCTTTTCTGTACTTCTGCTCTTACTAATCTTTCTGTCAAAGACACACTAACCAAGGTCTGCCTCATAAAGGCTCTGAGCAAAGCTGACACAAGGATCTTTCTAGACCTTTCTTTCAGAAGGCTCTAGATATTCAAGAAAGAGGAGACATATTAGAAGAGACAGAGGGTATGTTTTTCAAATTATTGGAAGCTCTTTCTTCAATTCTGTTTTTCTTAGACATCTCCTTTTGGTTTCTTTCTAATCTCCTTCTTCTAATAACCTCAGCTTTTAAGTTTCACAGCATTAAAGTGTTTACTCCCCAGGCCAGTTTAGCTCTATGGTTGGAATTTAACACTATTGGGCCAAGGGTAAAAATTTAACTCTAGTCTATGTCAGCTGGCAAAGAAAAAGGCAATGACCAGACATATCAAATAGGCACCAAACACCCAGGGCAGAGAAAGGATATGTCAGAACCTACTCATTACCACACCCTGAAAAACAAGTCAAACAATGAATCATTTCATGGGTTACAGTGTCATCCTTATACATTAAGGATAAGAAGTTATGCCTAGACATATCCAAGGATTATCTTTATGCCTATATTCTTAGGCTGTAAGTACTTGGTACGCAGAGGGAGAAGAAGGTAAAAAAATATATGTATGGCAATCATATTGTTAAAGAGAAAGAATAAGAAGAGAAAAGGTAAAAAGCAGCAGCCACCCAGGAAATTTTCCAAAGTGACATGGATCACATAGAGGTGAGGGTCTGATGTCAAAATGTAGCAAAACTTTATATGCAAGAATGAGCAACTTCCAAGTTTTATGCAGTGGTTTAAGATTCTTCAGAAGTACAACTTTCTCTCAAGCATAGCATGTACCTATTTTTGAGCCTGAAGAGTCAAGTGGACATTTGCCATCTTTTAGTTGCCCAGAACCAGGACATACTTCTTTTGTGAGCATCCTAAAATAGGTAAGAGGCAGATTGGCGCTTCCCACTGTGGAAGTTATTAAGTAGCTACAAGCGGATGATCTAAGTCTAATTTATTGGATGCCCTCATCCTCCCACTTGCACAGGACACACATCTCTAGGAAATCACTTAGAATGCAATATGGGTGCAGCAGCTATATCGAGTCTGGTAACAACAGCACCTGTAGGGTATCCAGGGCACAAGTCAGGTAGTGGCAGTAATCACAGTGCCAGCTATAGAGTTTTCACCAGATTCTTTTTACGCTGCAATTTTGACTGTGGTTCTGGCTTCTAATGTTTCTTGGATCCTGTTCGTGACCACTTTGCCAGCCTCCCAACTGATTTCTAGCTATCTTCCCAATAACTCTCTTTCTGCTTAAGAGAACCACATTTCATTTCTTTT